GTGTGTGTGTGTGTGTGTGTGTGTGTGTGTGTGTGTGTGTGTGTGTGTGTGTGTGTGTGTGTGGTGTGTGCGTAAGGCCCGAGCGTCGTGTCACCTCGGTGACGGAATCACTAATTGAGGTCTAATCGAGTGTCGTGATCCGGTTAACAGGTAAAATATTAATCAACGACGACGAAATGAGGAAGGAGATGACTTGCGTGTTATGTATATATAAGCCCTTTACGATGGTAACGTTGCATGCGCTACGGCGTTCTCACCCTCCCTTTTTGCCAGGTCATGCGTGTGTCTCACACGAGAGTCGCGAAATTCGAAAAGACGCAAAATCGTACGATCGATGATTGGGCGCCGCCCAAGGCACCAGCGTAAGATCGCAAGAGGTGTGTTGCATACTCTCTCCCATTATCATGTCACAACGTAACGTTTATAGTTCCGCCGCGGATCTCGCCGTTTTTTTCGGAAACGGTGTGATGGAGGGGGAGCGGACACAGCTTATGTGTACGACGAGCCAGGGCGACCAGCCGCTCAACATCACGTGGTTGATGGACGAGAAACCGATTCAGGTCAGACCGAGCGACGGTGGTACATCGGTGTCGTCGGTCCAGACCGCCGCCGCCGCCGCCGCCGCTACCGTCGAGACCAGCAACGGCATACAGATAAACGACTATCCGCCGTTTTCCAGCATCCTGACGATAAATAGCGTCAGCGCTAGCCACAGCGGCAACTACACGTGTCAGATCAGCAACGTCGCTGGCCTGGCCGAGCACTCGACCAGCCTCTCAGTCGCTGGTTGGTGTCCTGAGAAAAACTGACGTAGTCGTAAGAAAACTATGTACATAAAGCGTCCGCAAATAAGAACCTTCCTTTTCGCTATCTCCCAATCTCTTTCTCTCTCTCTTTCTTTCTACTTCTCTATCTATCTCTCGACCTATCTTTCTCTCTCTTTCTCCTTCGTCCCACTTTTCTTGCGTCTAAGTATATAAAAATACGTATATACAATATATACATATATATATATATCAATATATACAATATCTATATACAGGGCAGGTATATAGTGTCCGTATCACTGCGCGGAATTCGAAGGAACGTCGAACGAGGTTTGGTTTACTTTTTTTTATTTAATCCGCTTCTATGTTCCGGATGACTTTTCCGAGCCGTTGATGATATCCCTCGAGAAGGGACGTGCGATACGAGTCCCCATTCGCTAGATCGTAATCTTACACGTTAGTATCTGATTTCGCGTCAATTTGAAACACACCACTCTTCGTCTCTGAGAAAGTTTCTTCCTTGATAGCGTAAGTTAGATGAATCTTAAAAATTTATTTTACTTTTGTCGAAAGGGTAAAGTTTTATCGTAAAGTATTTGTAAGAACCCGAAGTCGTTTGAAACCGCGTGTATAAAGTTCGCGAAGTATATATAGAAATTTCTAATTGGGAACAAATTTCTATATTTAAAAAGAAGATTGAAACAAGATTGAAAGAGAGTGAAAAATATTAAAAAATTTTTAACAAGTATAAATCGAAAGTATTTTAACAGAGTAGATATTTTCCAGACAATAATTTATGTCTTTCTGAATATGATATATGTAATTGTGAGTGACATAATGATCGAATAATCAAAAATTGCTCTCTCGCTTATTTTTTCGAAAGAAATATAACGTATGTGTGTGTGTGTGTGTGTGTGTGTGTGTGTGTGTATATATATATATATATATATATATATATGTGTATAAAAAAGGGTGAAGCAAGCAAAATGTTAGGCTCTAGCAAATCGAGTCACCTGGCTTAAGTCAGGCAAAAAGTCAGGATGGCATCGATCAGAAAATTGAATACGGTCGTAATGCGATATCTAAAATAGTTTTGAGGATTAATTGTTAATGGGTTTCGCCGGATTTAATTCCTAGTGGTCTCACGCTCGCCAGTGAGAAATGTTTTATTCATTCCCATCCCATTTCGACTCAAATTCTATATCGAATTCGAATATCAAAAAAATTATATATTTCGTACGTTCCATTACATTACCTATATGTGTAATGGCGGCTGCTCCAGATGCGTACAAAAATACGACGAGATCGTTAAGTTTTCGACATCTGAAAGCCATTAAAGATTTTCCAGCAAATGTCGCGCGGCAAAGGAATTTCCTCAAAGCGAAATACGATCCCTTAACCCCGGCAAGATTATACGCGCGTAACAAATTGGAGGACGAGTGTGCAGAACTGTAGTTTTTCAAGGATCAAAGAAGTAAGTAACAATGTTAATTGGACGTTCACATTCGTAAAATAAAGATGAAACGAAAATAGTTAACCGTAATAATGGTTTAATAATTTGTGACGTCGTGACCGTGCAAATTTTTGCACAAAGTCGGGATGAAATAACTAACGCGACAGAATAAAATTTTAAATACTCTGTTTGTAAACTATATGAGTGATTCACCTTCGAATTTTTCAGTCCATTACGCTTATGTATTCTTTGAGAGTAGTGCAGTCGTATTATAGAGCGCATACCAGACTTTCGCAATATTTGCCAAATGGAACGCAATGTGCTTTCGAGTTCGCTTTGTGTTCGTCATGCAACGGGGATAGCGAGTGTAGTATACTGCACTTTTCAGTTTCATGATATTATAATACCTTTGCCGCCACGGCTTACGATCAGCATATACGTATATCTTACGTTTCACCGCGTTCTTACTCTGCACTGATATTTTTCGTATTATTTCAACATGGCCGGATTACGCATACGCAATTTATTCAGATATGCATTACGCACATCCGGCGCCTTCTATTTTGTCGTATACGTCGTACGAATACGTCGTCTTGCATCTATACTAATATCCAATCCGTATTACCTTCCCTCGACAGATATATCGAATATATCCGTCATTACTTTCCGGTCTGTGTACGACATATGTTTGATCGTACTACTTGGACGCGGTCGTATCGTCAAGTACGACCGTTACTACTTACGCGCCGTCGTGTAAATGTCTGATCGCACCACTTGCGCGGTTTGCCTCACCGCGTGAAATTCGCAGGAAGCAATTCGGCGAAATTACCCATTAATTGTCCTCGTTAATCACCAAAACGTGTTCCGAGCGCGAAATTGAAGCGATAAGAAGGAAAAAGAAGAAGGTTGAGACCGATTCGAAATCGCAGACGCGCTATTGAAAGCAATACCTGGCACGGTGCCGCCATATCCCGGTTTTCTTTTCGTTCGTCTTTCGAGAATAGTCCGAATAGAATGTTCATTTGCCGTTGGAAGTCGAGAATCGCGCAGCCGAGGAAACATCGCTACGGGATCCTGCGGACGACAGATGTATCGCCGACTTTACTTGTTTGTGCATGCACGTCAACGAGAGAGATAATCAAATCCCTCGCAATCGTCGGTGGAACAGGACGATTCTATTTGCGAATACTTTAACGAGGATGATATGTATCTTTTTTTCGATAAGCGAAGTAATCCCACGCACAGTAAGCACACACGGCCACCATTCCAGTGTCCGTTGATCCGACGTGCCGGTAAGGCCCAAAATGTAAAATGTACTGACTCTTATCGTCCCCCTGTACTCCGTACGTTTTTTTTTTATTTTTTTTTTATTCCATCAAGCAGCATCGCCGAGATCGATGTAGAGCCTCGGAAATCGAGATATTTCCAGTCTTGAGACGTAGAAGTATAATGATTCACGTGATGAGATTTCTTTTAAAGGACGTTTCCGCGAATGTTCTAGGTAGAGTATTATCGTAGCGAGTTGGATATTCGAGACGTTGTGCTAATGTAATGCAACAATTGTCTATGACACGGGTGTGCATAAGCATGCATTCGCGTAGTTAACCTGTTTCTGATTATACAATCCCCCGTCCCCTTTTGCCCTCGTTTTTTCTGCCGAGAGCGACTTGGAATGACGATGGAAGAATGTAAAAGTGATACTCCTCCTTACTACGTGTCTTTCTATTTTTCGTATCGTTACGGTACATTGCCACGGTATCGTTTGCGTTTGTCGTTGTCTGGAAGCATTTTATATTACATCCGTCTTATACAGCTCTGTTTACTTGGAATGGTGCTTGCGTTGTTACGTTCCTTATGATAATGACCAACTTTGCATTTTTGCATGATATTACGTTCTATATACTCGTACTATATTATGTGTATTATATTTTCTCGACATATATTTATATAGTTCAATTTATACTAACTACTCTCATGTATTTTAGACGGACAGTTTCTTTTCTTTTTATCAAGATACCTTCTCTTCCTCCTTATATTTTATCTTTATCATATATTCTATCATTTATATAAACTATTTAGTTAGAAGATATTTCTTTCATGTAGATTTGGTAATTAATAATTTTTCTCTCTTTCTCTTTCTTTCTTTCTTTCTCTCTCTCTCTCTATCTCTTTCTCTTCTTTTTTCAAAAATGCACGATATCTTTTATTTTTAATATCCCAAATTCCTGATTATTATTTCCTAAACGTATTTAACGTTGCTTGAACTCCTAATGAAATTAAGAGTAGTTAACTTCGGTAAACTAGTAAAATCCATTCTCGTTTATTTTTCATATTTATACATAACATATACATAACATCGTCAATTCAAGTAATTTAGCCGTAGTCTTAATGGATTTCGTAGTATAATACTGTTACAATTTTCAGCAAATTGTGTAAGTATATAGTCCAAGTTGAAAAAAAAAATGCATGCAATTACATAATTATTAAACATATTAGGAAAACATTGATTTAGTCACTGCCATTGGTATTCGTCACCGTTTATATCCTGGTAAAGTATCGATTCGATGTTTGAATATATAGGGAATGACTGTTCAAACAAATAACCTGTCATATCACATATATTTTTAGACCGAATTGATAAAAGATAAAATCGTGGCTGGGCTGTGAAATGAAAATCGATACCGTTTGACGGTTTTACATGATATTATCTTTAGGAAATAACAGGATAACGCGGGATAAATTGCGTATTACTCTCAATATTTCAAATAAAATTAAAAGGAATTTGTAATAAATTTGTAATGTAGCAATGATTACACGTTGGCGCACGCGCTATTCATACGCGATTACATAATTACAGAAACGTTATAATCCTTGTAATAATGCGTGCACAGACCGCAATTTATTGTTCTTTCCCGTCGATGCCAGTTTGATAGCTTCGCCCTCGATTTCGACGTGACGTCGTTGCAAATTCCTGAGAAATGCGATGAACGGTGACGGAAACGAGGCGGCAGTCGAGTAAGACTCTGACGGATACGAATTCGAGGGACTGGAGGATTTTAAGCCAATCGGTTCGTATTTTTAGTACCTCCGAGGTGGACCGTGGAACCTATCGACCAGAACGCGGTTGTAGGTCACGGCGTCTCCATCGCCTGTCAGGCCGAAGGATTCCCCATTCCGAGTGTGACTTGGAAGCAATCTATCGGTAAGTCACGACTCCTTAAAGGTGGGATCTCGGAGCGCGAAGAAATTCCTCATTCCCCCCTCCCCTCCCCTCCCCCCTCGTCATCCCAGCAGCGTTACGAGAGATGTATTAGGTCTCAGACGTGGCGCGAAAAATGAGAACGCTCATTCGCACCTGATCTCCCGACATGCAAAACGAACGTTTTCAATGGAACGCTGTCTCTCCGTTCTTAGCAAAAATTAGCCGTTAACCGAACGAATACAAGCTGACGTGTCTTTATTCAAAAATCATAGATTCCGCTAAGATATTTGTGTTGACGCCTTGTCAAATCTCGCTTCTGATATCATATGGATTGCGTAAAATTCATTTTCATATTTAAGATACATCGACATCGATTATTCATTCCGAATCGATTTCAATGCTGATGTCTTTAATCACTCTATTATTACTCTTTATTTTTTTTTAACAATCTTCTCCTGTCAATTAGGCAAGGAACTTTGTTTGCGCGAGCATTACGTAATTTTCATTTTAAGTTACGCCCCCGGGTTACGGGGCGTCGACGAGGGAAAAAAGAACGCGCGGGAAACTGTAATCAATCACGAATTTCGCTGAATCGCCGATCGTCTCCGCGGGCAGATATCCAGTCGTAGGAAGTAAGTCGAGTTCGATGAATAGAGTCGTATAATTAATTTCGTCAGTTCGCGAGAAAGATCTTTATTTTCTTCTTCCCATTTTTTTCCCCCGTGATTTCGACCGTGCTTCGGCGTGCGAAATACGTCATTCTGATCTCGTGGCCAATCGTGACTCCTCGCCCCCGCGGGTTTGCGCCGACGTTGCAAAAAGCGCTTTGTGCGTTCCGACATGATGCGATTACGTCACAGCTACGAGAGACTGTCTGTTACCAAGTCCCAAGGAATATTTTCGTTAATTTTCATTTACCGCGCGGCAGACAAACGGACGTACATTTGTCGTAAAATGCTTCCAGTTGGTTTGTCGAGTAATCGTATTATTCATAAGCGTTTCCTACCGCTGCGCTACGCGTGTACTCCGATACATTTTAAGCGATTTCGTTACTCAAATATTAATCCGCAAAAGTTTTTTTACATCGTTCGGAACATATATCTGAAAGTTGCCGCGGGAGAAAAAAAAAGCGGATACCGCGCGGATATTTATGTTTTTCATCATTCACCATGTATCGGGAAGGATGTCAGGAACCATCGATCCGCCGTCGAGCAATGCCATGATGCCAGACAACATTGAACGTGGAAAAAGGAAGAGCTGCGGCGTGTCGGGAAAAAAGACATTCTACATCCGACGTTATTATGACTTATATTAGACGCGGAGCGGAATATCGCAGTTTTCGCGCTAAAATTCCGCGTTAACGTCGTTTCTACTCGCCGCCAGGTCGCGCGTAATAAATGCGATTTACATCGGTCGAGAATGCACTCGCCGTAAGTTTCGATAAATAAAACGTAATTTCTCGGGAGATTCCTGCGAAAGGACTGATTACTCAAAAGCATTGCTTCCAGAATGTTTACCTTGTTCGGTGGGCGCGCTCGCGAGATAAATCTTAGCGTTTTGAAGTCACGAGGGTCGCGCGTACTTTGCGATACATCTTTCATCCCCGTTACGTCCTGTTTATTTGCGAAAAGATGGAATAAGAGAATAAAATGCACACGCGGAAAAAGGTGTGTCCAGGCGTGCTCATTTTTTTTTCTTTTTAGTCTCCAGCGCGTTACGTTTTAGAATCAGTTGGACATTCATGTATTCAAAAATGCATTTATAGAGCGTCTCTCGCGCGCGTAAGAAACTTTCCCCGCGTTATTTCTCGGCATTTAAGTTGGTACATAACAGGATGTTTTGTAATGGGCGTAAACAGGGTGATACTTCATGCTGCGAATGGAGAAATAATTTTGCCCTCGGCGGCAAGCTTAACGATATTTTTTCGCAGTTTGTGAAGTTCTAAAATTAAATATCTTGGGAGCTGAGCGCGCTCCCGAGTCAAAATGCTGTTAAGGTAAAGTTTATCTGAAATTACGCGAAGAATAAGATTTTGTTTTCTATCACGCATCTCCATGAAGCACCCTCCCGCGGAAACCTTTCCTCCTCCGATTCTTTCTACCCTTATTTCGGTTTCCGATAAGTTCAGCATGTCGCCCGATAAAATACGATTTCCTCGCGAGTTTTAATTCACGTTGCTTCTCGAAGCTTTCTAGCTTTCGTGCGGAATCCCGATAGATCTCGTAAAACGTAATAATTTTTGTAGACGTGTCTATTATGCAGGAGCAGGAGTAAGGGATGTGTTCTTGCGCATTTAGGTGAAACTCCAGGTGACTACCGGGAGCTGGGATACGGCACGGAGGGCGCCGGCGTGGCCAGAAACGGATCCTTGGTGATCCCGCGGGTATCGCGAGATCACGCCGGATTCTATCTATGCCAGGCGAACAACGGCATCGGGCCCGGCCTCAGCAAGCTTATTCGACTAACAGTTCATGGTAAAATATTCACGCAACCTAGAACCACCACCGCCGTCGTTTGGATCTGAATCGACTCGCCGGTATCCGGGATCCGTGTAGAGCCGACATTCATCCGGAGTGATCGAGACCGCGTGATTCTTACCGCCATAAACATCACTCGGCGCGAAAAATATTCGCCTTAAGATTTTTCTTTCTTCTTTTTTTGATAAACTAACGTCCGCAGCCGATGGGAGAAATTATCTGTTTCTCCCTCTGAAATGATTATTTTCGGAGATTTAATGGAGAGGGCGGCAGAAATTTAATTTGTTATTACACGATATGCACACGTAGATGGTGATATGTAATGCAACAGTCATGAATTTAATAAATTTGTTAATTTGAATTCGCACACGCACACACACACGCAGGGGCGCGCGCGCACACGCACACGCACACGCACACGCACACGCGGGCACGTCCGTCCGGAAATTCAATAGCATTACTACAATATTCGTCACTGGATAATTGCTTCGCATCACTGCATGAAATCCTCTCTGTGAGAGAGAGGGGCACACACGCCCGGCGCACACACGCGCGCTTACTCCAAATAGCATCATGCGTCGATAATTGATCTTTTTTTCGCTTGGCTACAAAATAAACGCGCATTCAACAAAGTACCGTAGATTGGCCGTGCGATTTCGACGCAAATAAAATTGAATTGCTCGTTTATAATTACAAAAAGGGACATCTGCGAGTTATAGCGAAAATTGGTTTTATTGTCTTGTCTTTTATTTGACGTTCATTGTGCGCGCCGTGTGTGACTGCCGTGTGCAAACGTTCTGATGAAAAATTCTCGCTGCAGCGGGCCCCCAGGTGACAGTAAGGACAAGGCAGGAATCGGTGCGACGAGGGGAGAGCGTAATATTACGCTGCGAGGCCGAGGGAGACGCGCCTCTTGATCTTAGCTGGCGTGTTCGTGACAGCAAGATCGATCCTAATTACGATGTTAGGTTCGTATTGGAATTAATTATGCGTCTTTCGCGTGAAAGCTCACAGGTTTGAAATGCGCGTACCGTTTGATGCTGGCGCCTACATTTTGACGCCACATTGTGCTGGTCCATTATTATCCTCGTCCTCAATTCCTCGCGAAACATTTAAAGGAAAAATACGGTAAATTTTCTCTCCGCTCACTTTAGACTCTTATTTAAAAACTGTGTCTATTTAGGATTCGGTCTTGTCTCACACAATTGCTAAAACGGATATATAATCATGTACTATAAATAATGTATGTACTGTCCGCAAGTTATGTAAAATTTATTTTAAATAAAACACATTTTGTATTTAAAGCGGATCTTACTTAAAATCGTTTTAATGTTTATAATTCTTAGTTTATTATTACACGTACCTGATGCATTTTACATAGCGGAGCAGATTCCAGTTTTAAATTATTATAGCTACATACAGAGAACAAGAATTTTACTGCCACGTAAAGCATCACTGCTACTGCATATTCGATGTAAAAACGGCCAACTTTGTTACTATAACCAATTATTTGATATTACCTCAAAACCTGTTTTGTTGATAACGGGGAGAAATTTTACCGAGCAAATTTGTTTGCAGAAACGTTCGTGGATTCATTAATTTACCGCTAAACCAAAATAATCTATTCCTGGAAAATGCATTTCCCTGTCGCAGCTTGTCGCTGTTTTGAGAGCGGAATAAGAGTTACATAATTTATGTTATTACAACGAAATAACATGCTGATTCTCAAAGGCTAATTAATTTCAGGCTATTAAAATCAGTATTCTTGGCCGAGTCTCATCTCGTATACAATATCCAATAGGCAAAATTCATCACGAGAATGTAAAGTAAATAGCAGATTTTCCCGCTCTGTAATCAATCCCGTCTTAAGTGTTAAGCTTCTCGGAGATCTTAGAAATTTCGGTTTCGGGGAAGGGACTGTCGCCTCCTCCCCCACCCCCCTCCCCCATTCGTCTCGAGGCATATCGATCAATCGCGTGACCGCTTCTCCCTTGGCTTCAGGTACGTGGTGGACAATACGGTGGACGTCTCGGGACGCGTCACCACCGAGCTGCGGATCATTCAGGCGAGCCACATGGACCGCGGCGACTACGTCTGCGTCGCCGCGAACGCGTACGGCCGCGACAAGGCGACGATCCACCTGCTGGTGCAGGAGCCGCCCGACTTCCCACGTAATCTGCACGTGGCCGAGCAGGGCAGCCGGTCGATTCTGCTGGCCTGGTCCTCGCCGACGACGGATCGGGACCCGAGCCACGCCAGCTCGCCCATCACCAATTACATCGTGCAGTACAAGGAGGCGCAAGGTACGCACTGGCTATCCTTTCTCCCTACGCCTT